CGATTTTCGCGATACACTCGAATTGCACCGGTTTCTTCTTTCACCAAAAATACCGCGAAATTTCAACGCGCGCCATTTTCTCCCAGCTTTCCGCCACAGAGTGAGAATATTCACAAAGAAACGTGAAATCGCGGATGACGTAAAGAAGATCTCTTAAAACGCACAGACTAAGCCGCTAGTTTCACAGAATTCACACATCGTCCGTTTTAATCTTCTCCGATAATCTTACATTCACCGAATACGAGTTTCTTCGTTACAGAAATAAATGTTTTTATTCCAATCTTTATACTTGTGTATCTTTCAATTTTTTTTAAATAAAAACGTCTATTTGGACTGTCTTCGAGATGTAGGTAATTTTCTCCGTGGTATAATTTAAATATAAAGTAAAAAAAGAAGAATGAAAAAGGATGTCGCAACGAACAAATAGCCGGGAGGAACACGAAGTCACGATCGACGCTCGGAATACGTATCGCGGAGTAATCGGCTTAAAAAAGAAACGAGGACTGACGGTTCCCGCGCGAGAACGATAGCTGTTTATGTTAATCGCCCGTTTCAATTAAATTTCCAGGCTATTTTAATTTCAAAGGAAGCTACGTACACGTTCGTAAAAGTCGATTTGCAGTCCGCGAATTTGATCTCCTTCGTGTTTTTGTTTAACCTTCTACAACAACAACGCAGTCCAAGTCGAAATTTATATTTATTCTCAGAAGTGTATTACATTGAACTTTAGCCGGGTTCGACGGCGAAGTTTATCGTCTACTGACGAGTTACGCTGAGTTTACGGATTATGGTGTTATAGTAATCTATTTAATAATCAAGCTGGTGTAGGACAAATATTTAGTTACGTAAAGTGTGCAATTTCTGTCGTTTCGCAAAATATCCGGGGTATTTTTTAATTTTTATATTGATTAACGGAGAACAGATAAAGCAAATGTGCAATATTCTGAGAAAAAGTTGCACGATATATGGAACGTTGTAAATAACGTTGAAGTATTGTAATTTACAGAACATCGCAGCAGAGTAAATCTAAATTGGCAACTGTTAAAAATACTCGATCGAACAGTCTCTGGTCTAATAATAAACATTGTCATTTGAACAATGTGACTCTCTAAATATAATACATTCAGCAGCGTATTTTTCCCATTTACAACACTTTCTTCCCAGTCGAACAATTAAAATTTAACGTTAAAATAAAGATTACACTTTGAAAAAATGATAAAATTAAGTATACGCGAGAGAAAAATACGTTGGTTAAGATTTAAGGCGCACAACTTTAATTTATACGCCGTATCAAGACACGCATGCGAATTATACCGCAGTGGATATAATAAAGCAGACATATGCCAATTGGCAATATTCCCGGCTCGCCCTCTACCAACGTAGAGGAAGAGGAAGCTGGTATTTGTACACACACGGCCGTCTCGCATACAACTTTTCGCATAAAACTGCATAAAACAACGGCGGGTCGGCGTGGCTCTTGATTTGCGAAGTTTTATAACAGAATGGTACTGTTCCGGCAGGAAAATGACCAGTATGAGAAAAGTTAAGTCCATTTACAAATATACACGCGCCTACATATTCCGGGAACAGAAGATTAATTGAGTTGAAGACGCAGAAAATTCTCGAAACCGTGTTATATACACACGTATAAGTCTATCCTCTTCTAACGCGCTTCGACGTTGCCTGACTCTCTCTGTCCTCGTCTATCTCTATTATTCCAAGGTTTCGAGAAGCTTCTTGAAGAGGTTACAGGCAATAAATATCGAATATCGAACGCGTCACTGGCAGGCAAGAAAAACAGTATGTATCTTTCAAACTGATACCACAATGACTCTGTTTTGATCTCTTACGAAGAAGAAACGAACGTAACGTTTGTTTTGAATTTCGAGCCAGCCAGATTGTTATGATGAGTCACACTCGACACCCGAACCGGTTCGTCCCGCGAGCTATTTTTAGTGAATATTCTCCGCGACTTATATATTTCTATCGACCATTACGAACTTTGCATCGAGGATTTGAATATTTACGAATTTAAAGCTTCCACTATTTTAACGAAGAATGAAAATTGCAATCTAAAAATCGAAACGTTCTGTACACATGCGACACACATGTGTGATTAGCGAACGTGACTTTTCGACCACCCTATACCCTTGCCTATATACACACATATATACCTCGCCCCCGCGCGTACGCCGAGCACGCATGCTCCTTTCGCTCGAAACAGCATTTATTCAGTTGTCACGCGACAAGATCACGAATATGACCTTAGCAATTGCCAAGGAATTCTATCGAGCGTTCCGGCTCTTTGTGCACTTGTTCCCTACTCTTGCGAAATTAACGGATGGGTCGAAAGCTACTACGGAGAAAAACTAATTTCAAAGGGAGCCTCGAAAGGCAAACAACGCAACGAGCGAACGTCGAACGTGACCGATCCATCTGTCGGTGTAATTAGCCCCGACAAATTAACCCTTCATATATGTATACGTCTCTCGTATCGAATTTTTCTCCTTGTACCAGAGAAAATACATCGGTTAGCCGTGTAACACAGGACAAGTGTACTCACCGGGGAAGCTGTGCGTGCATGCGACGAAACACGCCGCGACGAGTAGAACGCCACCGAAGGTTTTCATTCTGTCTCTCTCTCTCTCTCTGTTTTTCTTGCGTCGAGTCGGAAAGCCGCTCTGGTAAGCCTCTGCGACGATGATTCGATTAGTACTGACGGGTTCGGGCTCTTGCGAACAGGACTGTCACAGAACTCGCGAGGGGATCAAGGTCACTCACGGAACCAGCTCACTGAAACTCGCTGACGCTTTGCACTACGACTTTTGTCTCGCGCCACTCTATATGTGATCGTTCGCCCGCCGTTCGGCCAATCAGCGCGCTCCTCGACCTGCTCACGTGACGTACCGCTCACGTGACCATACGGCGCGCTGCTTGACTCATGGCGTAGTCTTTCCCGGTATTGCCAATCTTTCTCTGTCCCTCGTGTAGCGCCGCCGCGGCGTTTAACAGCAGCGGAAATACAGTCGTTATCATTGTCCTTTTCGACGATGAATTTCATACAAAATTGCATAATGGCGTTCGTTGATACTGTAATAATAGGGAATCGAATGGACGTTACCGCGAATATGACGAACACATTCTTTCATTGTTCCTCGAATCGGGAACGAGTGATGTGGCGCTGATGACTAGGTAGAAACGCCACGAATGAGAACGGGTACCGCAAATGAATAGTTTGCAAAAGGCATAACAGTCAGCCACAGCTGCGTTATTTGTCCTCCGAAATGTACTTATGCATCACACCTCCGGGTGTTTATAGTGGCCGCGCACCTGGACTGAATAACGCGAGGGAATTTTATACTAATGAAATTCGATAACTACCGTTTCAATTACAGGATTACCATTTTCCGCTTTGCCGCATTTATACGCTCGCGCGAGAGATTATATATGTATGATGTGCATATAAAATCTGTTAATCATTTTTTCCACCTCTCGTTTCCGGTTTTATCGCGCGAAAGGAGGTGTTTGGGGGAAGTGTAGTGTTTGCGAATTTTTACCGCGATAGGATAAAATGTTTAGAGTATGTAATTGTACTCTTTTTACCGTAATTACAAGGTGAATAAATCTTAGGAGAAATGTACGATATCAGATATTCAACGAGAATAATATAATACCACGGTAAATGCGTAGCATTTGTTTCTCGATAATTCTTCTAGAAAGTGTAGGACTTAAAAAGAAATTTTTCGTGAATTGTAATTTCTGCCGTTCTAACGTGACTCTTGCGAATCTTCCATTCTCATACAAGAAAATGCTGTTGCATTTTATATTTTTTAAATATTCAATAAAACTGTGACCGCAATACTTGCCTTACTTTTTTTCTCCTTCTTTCTATTTTTCCAGTGTGTAAAGAATTTAAGAATTAACGTTGTATTGAAAAATTTATAATTAACATTGAATTAACCTGGAAGAACTTAAGAATTAACATTGAACTGACGTTCAGGAATTTAAAAATTAACACTGAATTAATGTTAAAGAATTTAAGAATTAACACTGAGATAACGTTAAAGAGTTTAACAACTAACATTGAGTTGCCATTCAAGAATTGAAGGACTAACATCGAATTAACATTAACACTGAAAAATTAAAAAACTAATACTGAGTTAACGTTTAAGAATTTGAGAATTAACATTAAGTTCACATTAAAGAATTGAAGAATTAACGTTAAAGAATTGAAGAATTAGCATTGAGTTAACGTTAAAGAATTTAAGAACTAACATTGAGTTGCCATTAAAGAATTGAAGAATTAACATTGAATTAAGATTAAAGAATTGAAGAATTAACATTAAAGAATTTAAGAATTAAGATTAAAGTAGTGAAGAATTAACATTAAAGAATTTAAAAATTAACGTTGAGTTGACATTACAGAATTCAAAAATTAACATTGAATTAAGTTTAAAGAATTCAAAAATTAACATTAAAGAATTTCAGAATTAACATTGAGTTGACATCAAAATATTGAAGAATTAACGTAGAATTTTCCAGGAACCGTCATTTTTGGAATTCAATAAACGATGAGTTATTCGTAAGTTAAAGTCTCGCAACGCGTTAAAGTAACTATTATCCGGTCCATAATCACAGTGTGCAGCTGATTGCAGTAGAACGGAACGGTGTAATTGGTTTCACCGCTTCCGTGTTTGGATGTTTCTAGTCGTAGATAGATATGCACTTCTCGTCACCGTTAACTGTCATGCGAATGAAACGAACTGAAATAAAAAATGTCCAAGGAACATTTACGTCATGTTCACCGGCGTATTGAATATTTATCAAATATTTCACGTAACACTGACAACAGGACGAAACGATATTTCTGACATTTCGTTTCATAGATAACCTTGGCAATCTTTCAAAGATAATTAAATTTACTAGACAGCATACTTTGCACATGCTAATTACGCGTACTCGCAAGAATCGATACGCATTGGAATCGGTTCGAAGATGACTCGAGCTCCTCTTTATTTTCCTTGCACGATAAAAGGAACGTATTTTCCTCGGCAAACACATTGTACCTACGTATGTTTTATTTTTCAGCGACAACGTTTTAAAAATACAAAAAATACGGTTTTCACTGTTCGAATAGTCGGTCATAAATTTGCCGGTTTTACGGAGTTCCGTATATTTATTCCTTGCGTTTCGCTATTCTACTATTTTCATTATTTTGTAGTTGCAGTCAAATTTTTCTTTTATTTCAGCAATAATTAATAACATTAATTGGAATACACTAGTGAACGTGACAGTCTGCTGCGAAGTTTAACGCAGAATGAAATAATGAAGTAAAATATATCACGTACTATGGTAGAAAAACTAGTACGATAAGTAGCACTTTAATATTAGCAATGCTAAAAATAGTCTACACATAATAAATTTAACATAGATAAAATTACTAACTGCACCAATCGTATTCAAACAGAAAAAGACTTCTGACTTAATCATTTCAACGATACGCTGAATGCACCTATAAGTGCTTGAAACGCTGCATTTTTTCGTCACATCGAGCCGTCAGTTATACACGACAGACAAGACCGTATATATTTTCCCCCTTAGTTTCACAAATCTAACTGCATATAGAAAAAAACAACAGATTTATAGTAGATCGAAAGACAGACAGAACTGATCATTTCATACAGTCGCAACGAATGCACCGCCGTGCACGCAACAGCGAAGCAAGACGTACGTAATAGTTGGTTGTAATCGTCAAAGGAACGAGTGCATACACTTTTAACCTCGTTTC